TACTACCTTACTTACTTACTAGTACGTACTACTACTACTACTAACGTTAACGTTAAACTTTAAATTTACTTACTACTACTACTAAGTATACGTACTCTCTCTCTCTCTCTCTCTCTCTCTCTCTCTCTCTCTCTCTCTCTCTCTCTCACACACACACACACACACACATTTTGTAGCTAATTAAGTGGTGATTAAGTGTGCAAAAGCTTCCCGTCATTATATTAGTGAAATCAGCTCTTGTTTATCAAAGCCATTTGTGCTATCATCCATAGGACAATATTAAGTCTCTAAAAGGTCCGATTATGTGACCCAGGCACAAATGGTTTGACCATTGGCTTCCCATAATTTAGAATTATTAAATGTTTTGTAGCATGGAGAATTGAGTATGTTCTATTTGGAACACATTTAAGATAATGTTATTTTGCCCATGTCATAATGCAATTATAACCTAATCCTATGGCCGTAGATCAAACAAAATGATCTCAATTCTTGGCTTTCCATGATCAAATCAATTATGTAAATGTATTTTTTGTCTTGGTGAAGAGGATATTGGTCTTGAAGTGTTTGATACAATTCCATGGTGTGCATAACTTGGCAATAATTTGCATAGTGCTGTAATTTTGAGTACATGAGTATAGTCTTATATTGTTCTAATCTCCTTGTTGTATCTTGTCATTAGACTTTGTCAACGGACCAATTAGAGTTGTAATTTTCACTTTAAATGTATTTAAAGGCAAGTTTGGTGGTTGGAGGTTCTGTATCATGATCAATTTGCATGTAAAATCCACACAATAGGAGTATTGTTGCATAGCAATAAGAAAAAAATTTAAAATGTGTCACTCAGACATGGCTTAATACACAAACAGTAAGCATCTTCTTTTTGGTTATTTTCTTTTCTCACATATCTCATAGCAGTTCAATAACTACTAGTGCTCCAAATAGAACTTTTTAAAAGGCCCCATGCAAGAAAAACACAAGGTATACTGACATGGTTCATGAAAATTATTTTGAGAGAGAGAGAGAGAGAGCAATTATATTTATAGGATTCACAAACACAAAGAATCATTTGAGATAACAATGAAGTATGCAACTAAAAGAGCCAACAAAGAAATACATTAGATGGAGAGGGGCCCGGCATACCATTTAATACTTGATTTTCCAAAGAATGGAGGAGTGAGAATCATCAACTGCATAGCATAAGTCAGGTGAGACCTTATCCATATGTCCATAACTTCTCAGTTTAGATCTCAACATGCAAAGTAGCTCCGCATACAATGCATGCTTCTTATTCAGAATACGAATGTATGCAGACAGTCCAAGCCATTCAACTTCTTTCTTTTTCAATTGAAATACAGGATTTATATCCGTCATGCGAGAGATAGTATGCATTCTCCTCTTGATAAGCATGTACATGTATCTGCTTGGAAAAGTGTATATGTAGGTCATGTGCTAGTATCAAAGAAAGTGTATGTGTGTGTGTGAGAGGCAGAGAGAGGGTTGTCCATGACTCCACGCAAATGGCCAAAAGAAACAATTGTGAAATGACCAACCTGAATTATCTTTAATTATCTAACAATATCATATGTGTGCAGCACGCACACACATAAACATACACACGGAGCATGTGCATAGGTGCTCATGATAGTAATTAGAGTAAATAATTGTGATATGTCAAACCTGAAGATTTTTCAATTTAAGTTCAGAGAAATAATATTAATTCGTGTATGTGGGGAGATAGGAGAGGAGAAAAAGGAGGGGGGGAAGGGGGGGGGAGGAGAGAGAGAGAGAGAGAGCATAGACGCTCATGCTAGTCATTAGGAAACAATTGTGAAGTGTCTAACCTGAAGGATCTCAAGATTATCTTCATGTAATATCTTGGGCAGAGGCCAGGAATCTTCTGCAAGGATCGAACATAACAGTGGAACTTCATTGCGCAAAGAAGGAAGGCCTGGTATGCATTCAATCTTACTACGGGTGAAGAGTTGATATTAGAGTCATAGAATAATGCATGGCATTTGGGTCTCATATAATCACATAATTTCCCCTTCAAGTGAGAGCCTGGTTTTGCTTGTCGCCACACAGTGACAGTTGAGCTTATATGTGTACCCCAATACCTATTTAGAAAACCAAATGACTCCGATTACTTTTTCAATTATATTCTTTCGAACCCTTAAATTTAAAATTCCCAGAATGTAAGTACTGAGTACCAAAATAAACAAAGACTGAACAAATAGGTATGTGTGTTTTTCTTCTAGATAATGTATAATAAAACTAAGGAAAAAGTCTATATAAGGTGTTCACCTCATACTGTAGAAGTGAGCATACCTCAAAAACCCACCATAAAATTGATCATCCCAATTTTGAGATGTTGGATATGAAAAAAAAAAAAAAAGATTTTAATTCTTTAAAAATAGTGCATCTTGTAACACATTATCTAGACTCTATTTTTAAGATTTTTTTACGTGTTCATAGATCTGCTTGATGTCCACTATTTTTGGAGCTTTAAATTTCATAATTAGGCATGGAAATCAATTTGAAACCATCATAAAAGTTTTCAAAATATAAACTACTATTTTCCATCAAGGTTTGAAGAGGCGCCTTACTTTGATTGTTTAAGGTGGGCACCTTACAGCCATCAAATGCAAGATACTGATGGAGAGTAAGATAACAAGTTTAATGATTAGCTACATGGCAATGTTAACTCTGTTAAATTTCTCCAATCACTTTAGCACGACACTCCATGAGGATGTCATTTCTGACATGAACATAGTTCTCCAATATGTGGCTCAGTGCACAATTTTACACTTGTCAAAAGATAACATCAAGGAGAAGAAAAGAGATGACCATGAAAATGCTATGAATATTTCTTGTCCATAAGCAATAGTAAGCTGCATCAAGGATTACATGCTAGAATATTAGCAGGTCAACTATATTAATCTCACAAACAAGGAAAATAAAGGAAGCTGATAACAAATTGAAACCATGTAAAAGAAAGAGAACATGCAAATAACCAACCTCATGTAGTCTGCCAAGATTTCCATTGTTTGACAGTTTAGCAGCAAACCACTCCAACGAATAAATGAGTTACCATCCACACCAGTATAAGCAACTTGCATTGAGAAATCTTTTGAGATTTCTGAACCAAAATTAGAACAAAATTTTTCCTCATTCATAAAGCAATTGTAACCTTGGAAGCCCTTACGAAAGCTCGAAAACAAGTGAGTTGCTTGCTCTTCAGAAGTCGATATAAAAATAAAATCATCAACAAATCGGAGTAGTAAATACTTATGGAAAATGGGACCTCTGCATACATTCCTTTGATATTCATGATTTTCGAGCAATGGAAAAATGGTGTTTCTTTCGAGATGACCATAATAGAATGAACAAAGCAAGGATGACAAGATGCTTCCTTGGGCTATACCAACTTTCTGTAAATAGAAATCAGAACCCAATTTCAAAATATTTCCCTTCAGATGTTCATGGAGAAGAAGGAGAAGCTTTTCCCGTTTCATTATAGTAGATCCCTGAAAAGATTAAGATAGAATTATTTGAAAATTACTGGAATCCATTTAAAAACATTGCAGGATGGTCAAAAGAGAATGTATATACATGTAATATTATTGTTGTGATTCTTCTCAAAAATTATTTTCTTCATACTACATAAATAGAAGTTCTATAAGTTCAGCATATATTTCTCACTAATGTTTTTGTATAGACTATGCACAGTTGCACACAGACATGTGCAGTAGCTGAGGACAGAGAAAAGCAAGGACACAATAGACTTTTTCAACTTTATCTTTTTATAGATGACTCAAATCAATTTTTGAAAGAGCCATTTTACCATTAATCCATGAAAATAAATCTCTCACATCTTTCAAATCCATTGTTGGACTTCAAGGTTGTTTTAGTTCATTTTATAGGAAATTGTATATTTCAATATAATGAAGGTGGTGGTTTTATCTTCTGCCCACAAATATCTATCTTGCATTTGATTTACTTGAACGCATCTGAATTCTACAAATTGCAGTTTTGAGATGATTTACGAATGAAGAGCCTCATTTTCTTAACATTCATAAGCTCGAAGTCCCAACAATTCAAGAATTATAGGAGTTTCAAGCAATAAGCAAAGCATTAAAACAAAAATGACAAAAGGAACACCATAGTGAAATATTTAAATATATATAAATTTCATAAAAAATTAGCATAAAAATTCAAGAAAACAAATTAGCTACAAAATAACAAAAGATAAATGTGCTATGACAAATGTCAAATTAACATAAAAAATCTTAACAAGGAGCATACCTGATAAATCAGGCCACATCGTGAAGTACTCATGCCAACAATTGCTGCTGAGTGCATAAAACCTCTATCGTTGCTTTCCTTGATCATAACTTCTTTACGAAATTTTAAGGACCTCCTCGTGCATGAAACTTTTTTATATTGTTCTAGAGGATATTCATCTTTATTCAAAATCCACTCCATAATACCAAAAAGTTTGTCTTGATCAATTGCATCAAACGCTTTAGAGACATCACTAACAATGATATACAGCTTTGGCAAAGACATTGATCCCAATCTCAAACTAGAAATGAATGGGACAAGTTGCTTATAAACATCATTATAATCAAAAACTGAGGAACCCAATTGTTCTTGATGTCCAACCATTATAGCTTTCAAGAGGGAATGCACATCACGAAGAACAAAATTAACAGATTTGAAAGAAATTCCATTGGATTTCAATCTTGAATCCCTTCTTTGGGGATTCCCAGACTTTGCAATCACTTTCTTTCTTCTGAGATAACTATCTTCAGGGCATGACTTCCGAAGAGGGAGACGAGCTTTACAAGGTGCGCTAAGATGTGAGATAGGCCTAACTCCATCGTCTTTGGGGATAAACCTCAACCTCGAAAATCCAAGTGACCTTTCAAGGAAAATCTCCTCTTGTGATGTTGAAGTGAAAACTTCAAAATTGTTTTCTTTCAAACAATCAATTCCTTTCTTTGTTATTTGTCTCCAAACTGATTTCCTATAATAGAAAACTTTTTGCCTGCCCCATTGGCTCTCCGTCACATAAAAATGTGCACGTAAAAGAGGTACTACAAAAGATGAAAAGATCCAATAGACCCAACAATCTAACAGCTTTTTATGCAAAGTTCGCAATTTTCTTTTCGTGACAACATCTTGAAGGCCCTGCAATCCATTAAAAAGTTCTGGTGGTCCACTTCTTGTAGTATGACTATCAATAAAAGTTTCTGTGCAAGTACAGCAGGACGTAGTAGTGGTTCTTTTAGACAACCAGGGGAAGCAAGATAATTTGAGCTGGAACATGCACTGCTGAAGGTTAAAGTTCTCAAATCTCCTTAGCTGTACAAACTTAGCAATATTTCTTTTCAAAGACCTCCAATTCTTAGAAGACCCAAGTAATTCTACTGGAATCACACTCCGACAAACAGCCCATACAAATGAAGCTACCTGTTCATATTTACTATATGATCCATTCAACTTGGATTGCTCACCTGCCAACTTTGGAGTCTTCTCGGAACAAATTTCATTTGTATTACAAATGACTTCCCTAGAGGATTCTCGCAGAGGTCTAGCCCTTTGTGACAGCTGGAACGGAGTTCCACCTTTTTCACCTATGAAAGAGTCAGATAACTTTTTTCTGTTTTTTTTAACCTATAAAAGAATGAAGTCCATAAGCCAACACTACAACATGAAAAATGATGAAAGTTTACTAGCAAAATTGACTTACCAAGGCCTTACAGCATACAAGTACGACATGAATTTTAATTTCATATGCCCTTGTAACAAAGGATAGACAGATCAGGAAAGAAAGTAATAACTGATAGAACTTTAAGATAACTTCACCAGCACAATTAAGATAACTGCATTGATGGACTTGATATAAGCATTTTGATAAGGTGTATCAACATATTCTTACATAGGACCTTAACGTGGAAAGAGAGCCTTTTGGCAGCATCTACCTTTACTTATTTATCATGCTAAATTCTTGTATATCCTCAATAACTAGCCAAAGGAGTAGGAAAAGGAACATGTTGCATTTCTAGCTATGTGCTAGCTGATAATAATGAGGGAATATTCAACATTTTGCATCGAAAAGTCTTTAGTCGTATCCATTATTTATTAATAACCCACACATGTATTTGTGGCATTATTGTCGCTTTTCCTCATGTACACACCATAAATCAGAGGTTTCACTGCTTTAGAGTTGAGAACAATGAGAATGCAAGGAGTCTAAGCTTTACCTGTAAGCTGGATTGGACACTCAATGGCAAAACTTTGCATCATAATGTTCACCATGCACAGAGAGGCGATTAGCACTTACAAAGTCAATTGTAGCCTCTTTAACACAATGGTATCTAAAAATCCTTCCTTATTCCTTTGACAGGAAACAAGAAGAGGAAGCCCATGAGTTGTTCACTAACGATGCTCGGATATGGGTGGCAATAATTACAAAATCAAATTTTGTGAATCATGATGTGCTTTAAAGTATCAGAAACAGATAGAACATCTATAGTGTAGATATTTTCAGATAATATTCCCCAATGAAAGGTCCTCAAGGCCCTGTTCCTGCAATTTTGATGTAAGTCCAGCTAAAAGGGTATGGATGATATCGTTCGAAACTGGTTGAAACCATCCTGAAGAAGGAACAGTGTTATGCTAATGTGTTCAGTCTGAAGGATCCCAAGGCATCAAAGACTGACATTCATGCATCATACCCTTCTAAAGGGTCCTATAAATCCTACTCTTATTCCATTTTCAACTAAAATCTGAGCCATAACATATGAAGCCTTTCTGAATGATCCGCAGATTCATAGGCATACCAAAAAATCACAAATCGCCTCTCAAAACCTTAAATACAGTGCCAATCAACCTCTAATATGCATTGCTATCTTAATCTTACAGATATTGTTCATACTTACAATTGGAAGAGGGCAGTGTCTTCTCAGTAGAATTTGATACTGACATCGCTGTGCATTGTGTATGAGAATTTTCAGAAACTTCATAAGTGTATGGAGTCTGTCACAACAAAAATTGAAAATTTCAATATAAGTCATTCAAGGATGGCAGAATATAGGTAGGCTGAGTTGAAAATATATGCTGCATGAAACATAATAAAATTATAACCGTCAAATAGAAAGAGAACATAATGGAGTGAAACCACACTTGGAGTAAATCATAAAATTATGATGTAGAAGATGAAAAATATCATTGAGACATGCAAATCACAAAATCAATTAAAATCATGTAAAGGCCAAGAAAAATCAGGTATTGGTGGATAATATGACCTTACAAAATAAAATTTGAAATCCAATTCTATGAGCTAAAGAATCGATTTTTCCCTAAAGAGTTATCTCAGAAAATAGGGACCCCTGCACAAATTAAGAAAGTTTCACATTTCATAGAGTAACAATTTCAATGGGAAATTGCTTTCTTTGACATTTACATACTGACCAAGCAAGATCTGCAGTCAATTGCCTCGGAAGCAACAACAAAAGAAGCCACAATGTAAAGAATGAAGTTTAGAGCAAGTGAAGAAACACAGCAGAGAGAATATGTCAATAAAGTTTCATAGATCTGCAAGTAGAACAACTGCATTTTGCTCCATGAAATCAATTTGCTTGGTTTTTATACAAAACCCACATTTGAATGGCAGAAACATGGTTCGTGTTATCTTATTTATTTTCCAACACCAATATCTTACTAAAAAGAACTTCTGTTTAGTAAGCAAAAATTTGAAAATTTTACTGAGTACCAAGTTAGCTCAACTTTGCTTAGGCCGAAATTCTAAGTTGAGTTCTGGTTCTTAAATGGAGGAAAATCTTACCAAATAGCATTACTCCACTATACTGTCTTGCTCCTGGTGTTTTCTTTTACCCATATTATGAGCTTTTTAATGATTGCCTTAAGGCATATCACAGATCCAGGTTGCTCTAAAGGTAGAATTTTATTAATATAGCTACAAGCTGAAAATCCCTTAAATAAAAGCAGCAAAAGGGTTAGAAAACAAAAGAGGCAAAAAACTTCACAATACAAAACTCTTAAGCTCATAATTCACTCAAAAATCCCAGATAAGTATATACTTACAAGGGTGATCCAAAGGGACAATCACTAACATAGTTGACGTGTGAATCAAAATCATCAGGTAGGCTGAAGATAAGCTTGATAAGGGAAATTGCACCTGATCTGTTAGGCTTCAACTTGTTCAAGATATCTGAAATGTAATTAAGGTCCAGCTAGAAGCATGAAGCAAACGACTTAATTAAGTTTAATAAAGTCCATAAAACCAAGCTACAAACATGCAAATCCAAATATAATTGAAAAGAACTACAAATAAAGAAAACAGAAAGCAGTGCAAGGAGTCAATCTTCCATTAAACAAAAACATAAGGACATAAAGAAGGCAGTTTTTTTTTATGGGTCACAAAAAGAGGTATTAATAATTAAGGATCCCAAGATATCCATTTAAGGCATTGGAAAGATTAGTGAGACTATGGAGACACCAGACTACATGAATAGAACCATTCGTGAACATGATGATGGAACAGCAATAAAGAGAACAAAAGGTGAAGGATAAGAGGTTAAATGAAACATAGCACATCAGGAAATTGCAATAGCAACCAGCGGTTTACCGGGGTATCTTTTGCCCATACTCCATTTGCTTCAAGGATGCCAAACTTCGAGTTCTAAAGTTCGAACCATCTTGAAACACTTAAAAGAGTGCAAAGGCTTGTTCTACAGTAATGCTAAATCTTCTCATACGCATTCACATTATGTGACCCTTCTAAAACTCAATCGGGACTACCAAACCCATCTGTGAGGTAGAACACACCAGCATATAATGTAATTAAGGGACACCAAAAAATCGTGCTCTCTCATTCTACATAACCCTGCGGTAATGCATGACCACGAGCCCAAGTCACCACTTTTTTTCACTATAAATACATTACAATAGTCTGGAGTCCACACCAACAAAAATTGTAAGAGAACATGGACGGAGGACTGGTAAAGGCCTCAAGACCACAATAAAGAATGGAGCATAACATTTTAAAACATGCATCTTGGAAACATTGATAGATAGGAATTTCTAGTTAGCAAAATCTCAATATATACATCTTATATGAAAATATGGCAAAGATCAAGAGACCAGATATGATCCAAATGACAAAATAACATACTATATTACTCAACTCCACATGTATAAACAATGTTTACAACTAATTACTCTACTCCACATGTATAAACCACGTTTACAACTAACATCCACCATCAAACTGCCACTGGCAGCCCGAACAAAGACAGTCCATCCAACAAAAACTAATGCCCATCTATACTAATCCTTTTTACAAGAATATCCATAATATGCAAATTTGCATAGAAATAAAAAATCAAAATATCACCAGTTTCCAAAGGAATATTCTTGAGCTAGATGCATATTGTAAGTACATACATGCATAGAATGCTTTTACAAATATTTGTAGCTTTGCCAGTATGCTGCCCTCAAGTTAGCTTAGTCATTTTGTACTGAGAACTTGGATATAAGGTATTGATAACTCTAATATAAGCCCAATTTCTCATTAATGAAAATCTAATTTCTCCTCAATTAAGAAGATATCAAAGCTAAGTCCACAAATTGAGAATAGCTTTCATGTTCACCCAAATATTAGCATCCTGCAACCTACAGATTTATCTACCAAAGAGATACTACCAAATGGCATTTTAGCAGTATGCAACAACCTTAGTAGGCATGGAAAACCAGGGCGATGCATGAATACTGAGGAAAGATTCCGAAAAATTGAAAGCTTGAGATTGCACCACTATAAAACTTAAATATCTCTATATATAAGGATACGACCTGGAGGAAAAACAGCACAAGGAGAGACACTAGGATCATGGAGGAGACCTTGTCTATCAATTTTAGTCATACTTGAAACTCTTTGATTTACTTTCCATACCAAGGAGCAAAAGCATCTCATCTCCACCTGCATTAAACAGGAAATTATACACCTTGGTGTCCTAAGATATCAATCTTGCTGTATTCTTTTAATAAATTTGGTATATTATTCGCACATTAAACCCTAATAAAGCATGCTATCAAGCTAGCACTCAATTGAGCACTACAATATGAGATTTTCCAAAAACCAATTATGGATCAGAAGTTCATTAGAGGACAATTAAGTACTGCCCATTTTCTCCTAAGTTTTATACTTTAGGACATTCCCATCATAGGATAGAATATAAGAAGGGAGAAGCTTTTTGGGTGATATTAGAAGGAGATTCTTCCCATCGGTGGAGACATTGAGCGCAGATGTTTGTCAAAAAAGTTCATACCATTAAATGCAGGATCTCATGAACCACCAATAATATTTGTGTTTTAAGAATTTTATCACAAATAACAAATGTAAAGGCCTTTGACTCAACCTTCCTGGTGACAATTCCAAAAAGAAAGGTTTTCAATATCTTAGCCACTAAAATCCTACAACAAAATCATTGTCAAAAAATATATATAATAAAAATTCCTAGAAAAAAGAGAACCAAAAAAATAAAAAAAACAAAAACAGAACTAATCGCAGCACAAAAAAAAATTTATGAAATTTCAAGAAAAGGAACATAATTAAACTTACGGGAAAAAAGAATTTTTAAACCCAAAAATATGAATACCTCAGAATCTCTTGAATCATCTATGTCTACCAAAAGGACGAAGGACATAGATATACTTATCTATCATGTTGCAACAATTACATTTTCTGTATATTTTTATTCATGAGAATCATCATTATTATCATTCGAGCCTTATCCCAACTATTTGGGGTCGGCTTCGATGAAAATTTGTCAATTATTCTTTGACCGGTTTTGGCACATAACAGCAGCCAGTTTAACCAATCAGCAGCAGACTATTTATTTAACTTTTTTGTTTATTTATCACCCTTATGGGGTGTTTTAATCTTGTTCTTTCATTCTTGTATACAAGGGTTTCATCACGCATTTCAGCATTGAGGCGTAGCTTTGTTTTCCTCATACAAAATACCATTGGATAAATTCTGACCATATGCATGACCTAGATCTGACAAGTACAATTTCCTAAATGTACGAGGTTTTTAGAGAAACCATCCCAAAAACAAGGATTTAATGGTTATGGTTTCCAGGAAAATTTCATATACAAGCCCAACAATGTGAGACAATTAGCTGACATAAGTTGTTCCAAGGAGGCACTCATACAAGCATAATGTAGCAACACCGTTAGAGGATGAAATTTTCTTTACATCACATCTTACTTAAATTTATCAAATTATGCACCCCTTGTGTTGATATATTAGTGAACACAGTATTCCTACTTGCTAAATATCTTATGTTTGACCCAGGTTAAAACATTTTCCATGACAACGTACTCAATCAGTTTGACAAATCTCAAAACAGATGCTACAGTGTAATCTCTCCAACTTCTTTGACAATTGTACAAGTAAGTACTGCACTATGTTACATTTAAAGCTAGCATTAATTATTTAAAAAAATCAATAACGTAATGCTTCTCTAATTTTTGGACTCCCAAGCAATTTATAGACATAGAAAATGTTCCAAGTTACACTCTTTGCTCCTTTTCGAGGCACCTCTTCAATAGGAAAACCTGGCCTGCTAGATGTTATTGTAGTAGCAGAAATGTCTTCATCATGTGAAGGACAGAATCCCTTTCCATGCAGCTTCCTCCTTTGAAAACTAAATGGTCTTTTGCGCTTTCTTTGTTTGTTGTCAATCGTGGTAGTCTCTGAAACCGAGGAGGGACAAGTGCCAAAAGAACTATTGAGTTGCAGGGTAGTAGTATCCCTTTTTCGTTTTACACCAGCTCGATCCTTCAACCCACAATCTGCATGGATATGAAGGCAAAGGCATATGCCAAGTGGAAATCAACCATTTAAGCTTTTTAAAGTCAAGCTCAGAACACCCACCCAAAAAAGAAATCCAAATTGCCTATAGAATTATAGATGTTATAGTTACCTAAATTTTTACAAGGACAGAATAAAAGGCTACATGCATGGTGAGGGATTATAGTCACCCAAGTGTAAACCACTCAAAGGAAATCCACGGATAGAATACAACTAAGAACAATACATAAGAAATTCAGAGCATTTCCCACATAAATTACTAATATATCAAATCTCTCATTTGCAATCCTAAGAGTGTTTTCTTTAAACAAATAACAAAAGGCAAGTACATAGGTGATGGAACACATGAGCAAGTACATGGATGACAACACATGAACCTGAATGGGCAGTCCAAGTATATGAAGAAATAGCTTTTATAGTTCAATAAAAGGTAATATTAAACATTTTTCTATCACCAAAGTTCCTCAAAACCTAAAACAGCTTCCTTTGAAGTGTCCATTGAATATTTGGATTCATGTAACACTGAACAGTCATTCAACAAACTGAGTTCATCATAAAAATCATCCAGGACTAAAAAGGAGGAATATAAAACTATTAAACGTACCAAAACACAAAATGCCAAACATCCCAAGGACATTAAAATATCAAACTATCCCACAAAATTCACATTGGCACCAATTGATATCCCCCAAAACTGCAAGCACATTGTATTTCATGCATCTATCTCCTGCTTAATCAGGATCACCAATATGGTATCAATTGACATTACGGGGCAGTCAGCTTTTTTTTTGTTTTTTGGAGGGAAGATCTGGGGGAACTAAAGGCCCCTACCCGTATTTGGAAAGTGCCAATTTTTTTAAAATGTTAGTAAGAATGGAGGCTGTGACCTTTAACTGGGCTTCAGGTGGTACTACCACCACAGCCCCAGCCCCACTCTCAGCAGTCAGCTCCATAATAGGAGCACCTAAGCACATTGCAAGAGTCACATTTCAATGACAAAAGGTCAGCCAAATCTTGTCCTCCTCACAATAGGTTTGGGATCAAGGATTCTGCAACTAAGATCTCAACACCCTCCCAAGGAGAAGACCATCTGCAACCAAAACTCACAAACAACTAGTTTTGGCAAACTCTCTTTGATCAATATCGTTATCCATAATATGAGATATACATCATAGAGACAAAATTTACCGGAAACAATAATATCATATGATCCCTGAAGGAGTAATGCAGACAAAAATAGCAAATTGATGTTTGTTGCATTGCTCAGAACAGAGCTAGCTTTATGAGTGCAGTTTAATAGGTGATTTTCCATGACGACTCTCCTTAAGGATAATGAATCACAATTCAAGCTCTTCAATTTAACGAAAAAATTATGCTAAACAAAGGCATAGATTATTCCACTGATCAATCCTAGATCTTTCACAATGCCTAGCAACAAGATTTCAGTATTTTTAGTTCCCAGTAGGAATTGAAATTTGCACTTCAAAAACTCTTTTCCAATTAGAATAGATATCATGCATAACTTCACAAACCAAAGCTTTTACCAGTTAATTTGCTCATATGGGAAGAATTGATTCAACTGAAATTGAGAAGACAATGAAATATGCATAACTGATACCAGATGTATATTTCCACAAGGGTGTTTGAAGAACAATAGAAATATAAAAGTAGTAGATAACATACACTTACACTTTCGAACTTACCAGATTTGACAAGCATGCCCAAATTTACGCCACGATTCTCAATGTTCAGTTGTGATACATAGCTGATAGAAGCTGTGCCCTTGACAAGCTGCTGAGAATTACTAATTGGAGGACCAGTCATCTGCAGGAGATTCCCACCAGAAAGTGGAAGGAATATAGATACATGCCTAAGAATATGAACCATGTAAGAATCACCAATCTGAAATCACAGAGGAAAAATTCTTAGTATTGGTCTCTACGTTTCAAGGTAATCTCCTAAGAAGAAGGGAACAATTAACTAAATAAACTATAATAACAGATAAAAAGAACATCATGTTGATGACTTCTCCCTAACTTAAGATAATTCATCTCACCCTTGACAATAGTTGGATCCAAGCTCTAGAACTCATAATACTCATGACAGGGCTGAAATTAGTCCACTGCAAGAAAATTACCACTCAGGGACATCCGAACTGTCATGAACAAAATAAGGTAATTACAAGAGCACAATACTGCAAAAGAAAATCACAACAACTTCAACATTTTGTTTGTAAAAATGTTTCAATCAGTACACATTGAGTAAATTACATATGAAAAAGATTGTGTAGAGTGATGTATAAGAATATTTTGTTTAAACCATGTTTTAAATGTAGCAATTTAGGAGATAAGCATCAACAGTGCATCATTCTAGTGGTCTTCCACAGAGGTTATAGGCATGGACTAATTCATAGTTGCACTGTAGACAAAAAATTGAGTGTGATTTTCTTTAAAGTAGATGAACAGTTGCTTCAAGCGAGATGGAGAAAACACATAGATAGGGGCACAGAAAATCTCACTAAACAAGTGTTGAAACAGTTAAAAAGTAATAAGTATATAGCCCTCAAAAAGACTTAGACAGTGATGCAGGACATTTAGAAGAAATAGAGTCTTACAAGGCTCATCCCATGAAAGCACAAACTAGCTTGAATATATTTCATCCCAGTATTTTTTTTCATTCAGCTTTTATCTTTGAAGGTACAAATAAAGCATCAGGATGTTAAATTGCCCAGACCTTAACATTTGAAAGTATTCAAATATGCTTGATAGGAGAGAAAAAGAGTAGCACTCCGAGTGAGTCAAACACGTGCCATTCAGCCAAACAAGGCTACAACAACAATCACAAGTAGTTGCAAAGAAACAATATATAAAAGTTAGAAAATAGCATATGCTGATAAGAGGGAAGATGAGCAAGTTGTCCTTCATGTCAAGCATTTTTCAGGCAGATTAACCTTTTAAACACATTAACTGCATCACAACTTTAAAATGCTAAGACACACATGACAGTTTTTTTCCCCTAATAATTTTGGCATGAAAAATCTTACAAAAAACAAAAAATAAATATCAAATTTACCTTTTCATAACCCAAACATATCACATTCTGTGACCCTGTCGAGCAAGCTTCCATATCTATAATTCTCATAACAAGCTGAAGATCGAGGAAATGTATAAACCATTAGAGAAGATTAGCAAGTCAATCAAATCTCAGATATTTTATATAGAAACATGTCTTTCCGTTAAAAAGTTAAAACATAGAGAGAATAAAGGCAACCAAATAATAGCATGGTAAAGATAGAATATGGGAACAATAAGCAAAAGCTAAGGGTGTAATCACAAGTGATGGACCATATACTATGGTTGTTTGAAATCGGGTTTGGGCTTGGATTGAAACACTAAATCCCAAGTTAGATTGCTCTCGGTTGACATTATACATACATGGGTGTGTGTGTGTGTGTGTGTGTGGAAAAAGCTAAAATAGGTGGCACCTATATGGAAAGGAAATTTCGGTTAGCCTCCCCACAGTGCAATTTTGATCGTGACAGCATGTTGGTACTTTCATATAACTCCGACATTCCCTGGAAATAATGGCTGTTATGACAGTAAGGGCTCGTGCCCCTCACTTCAAGTAAGAATCACAAGAGGACTGTGACGAACATCTTTTGCGAATAAATAACGACCATTTCAAATATAGCACCGGCTATATAGCCACTAATGATAACAAGTTTAAAATAGACAAGAAGAGTTATATCCATCATGCATCCCATTATATCTATGTTTTCAGAAAGCACCCATAATATTCATGAATATTTTGAAACTTAATGAATATTGAACCAACAGAAAATTATTACCATAATGTCAATTATGCATTACCATAATGTCAATTATTTTTCAACAAAGGCTGCTATAAAATTATATTCAATAATTTAGTGAATATTTATACATCCAGAAATCTTTTGCAGGTTAGTAAAATATTGAGTCAACAAGAACATTACCATGATATCAATTACCTTTTTGAATAAAGGCTGTTACAAATTTATATTCAATGACTTAGCTAATATTTAACTTGTTATGTTATAATGACCATGATATTTAAAAAACATTGACATCCCCTGCCTATTAGGTCCATTGCAACAGATTTATTAGCCTTGCTATGTCTCATACATGTCAAAATAAACGGTAAGAAAACCCTAGACTTGCCTGATCCTGTTGCCATTGGACTTGAGAGAGAAAGGGTAGTGAGTGATGAGGAAGCTCATGAGCAACTGCTAGGGTGTTAGTAACCAGGTCAATATATTCTTCATGGTCTCCTTCTCTGAGCAGAAACCCTAATGGCTGAGGGCTGCATCCCAAGCACCCAGACCCACTACACCCGCATCCACCATTAAAATCTTCCTGCCTTATTGAAAGCATTTTCACTATCAGTTCCCCCAAAGTATTCACGTTATCTCTTCCATAAGCCCTTCTGAGAATCCCTAAGGAACGGTTTGCTTTCATTCTCTCAGCTTCGTTAAAATCAGAGAAAACTCTTCACTAAACTCAGAGAAAAACTACCGAACAGAGGAATAACAAACAAAGAGCACGGCTCTGAAAAAGAAGAACCAGAGGGATATAATCTAAAAAAAAGCCTCCCAAATCTAATAGAAGATCAATGGACTCTTTCAAATTCTCACAGAAGCTCAGGGGACTCTCTCTCTCTCTCTCTGAAAGCGGAAGATGGCGGGAGGCGCTCAATGGGTGCGCAGCTTTATGGGGGGCTTCTTTTCTTTTTTTTTTGAACGTCGGACACTCTAACGGGCCGCAGGCGAAAAGAGTCATTATTTTTTCGTACGGACGGGTTTAGTTGGTGCGGAGGATTTGGGAAGCTGAGGTTTATTTGTGATTTATGTGTTGGTGCCGTTTGTATATAACCAAGGCTCTAAACAATTAAAATAAGGCGCACCTTCAAATAGTGTTGAGAAATGTAGTTTTAATATTAAAAATCTTTGGGATAGTCTTAAAATATATTTTTATCTTTAATTATAAAATTTAAAGCTTCAAAAATAGTGTAGATCAAGCATATCTATGAAAACTTTAAAATATTGAAAATCGACGGTCCAAAAAAGCATTGCACTATTTCTAAAGGATCTCAATTTCCATCGAGTGTTTTCAATCCAAATCTTCTTTTTTCATAATGTTGGTGTAAATATGTGTGTGAAAAACTCTTCCCAAGGTTTATAGGTGAAAATGATAAGTGATTTCGCCTACCCTCATCACCATCCAAACTTCATCGCACGGTCACAGTTGTCTGGTAGTATTTTATTTTTCATTATTTTTTTTACTAATCGAAATGATATGAAATTTGGAACGTGTATAAATCTTAGTTAGGCGTACCTAATAAAAATACGAAAACAAATAATTTGTAAATAAAAATTGACCAAACTACCTCCATAAATTTTGGGAGGCATTTTGGTCAATCTATATTTCACAAAATATTTTTTTCATATTTTTATTAGGTGTGCATCACTAAGATGTACACACATTCCAAATTTAAAGTAATTTTATTTTGTAGAAAAAATAAATAAAATTAAAACACTATCGAATAACTGTGACCATGCGATGAAGTTTGAATAGTGATGAGGCTAGTCGAAATCACTGTTCATTTTCACCTATAGACGTTAAGAAGAGTTTTTCTATATATATATATATATATATATACTACCCCATAAATTTAAGATAAAGCTTGGAAGATGATGATGATATGTATCTTAACGTCGAGATAACCAATTTGATTGTTTTCGGCATTGGAACAAATATATTTTTTATATAATCATGTATAGCAGGAGTGGTTTGTACTAAATAGATCATACCTATATGTGGTAGTAATATTTAATGGCTCAGGGTCTGTCAAAAAAAATTCATTTGACTTTTAGCCCAATGAACGACGCACTATCAACCACCTAAATTTTTATCTGGTGGTTAAAAGTGATAGTGATATCATTGTACGAAAAGTAAACGATCATCTTACATACTTTTTTATTAATTTATAGTCTTTATTTATTACTTATTTTTAATGGGAACATTTAGGCGGGCCGACCTGTTGAACTGCCATACAAGCCTCAAATCAGCCCATATCAATAGTATTTGTAATTTGAGAATAATCATTATTTGTAATTTAGAATGTCATAATTATTGGAAAAGTTTATAAAAGGTTGCAACCTTATAATGGAGAGCTACGGATGCACCTCAAAAATCCATCGAAAAAGGTAGTTTTAATTTTGAAAAACCTTTTGATTGATCATGTCGACATCGAGATGTATGACCATGAAAAATAAGTCCTGGAAATGGTGCATTTTACAACATATTATCTACACCGTCCATTTTCAAGATTGTCATATGGTTATAGATATACTTGATTTTAACCATTTTTAAAATTTAAAATTTTATAATTAGATATAAAATAGATTTCGAGATAAACCTAATAACATTTTACATCCAAATTATATACCATGATAAAATTTGAAGCCACACCTTACCTCTATTGCTACGGATGCATTCGTAGGCCAATTGCAAATAGCAAGATGCATGCTATCTCCACCAGGTGTGACACAAAACTAGGAAAGGGGTTCAGGTGGCAGTGGTAACACACCCCATATCTCAGTTGCACGTTGTAGCTTCCATTCCCGTTGACAGCTTAAAAAACTTATCACTAATTTAAAAATCGGTAGGGGCATGTCATCCCCACTGAATTACCAAAATAAATAAATAAATTGTGGGGTTGGACCAAACGAACTGGGTTGAAAGTAATGAGAAAATATATGATAACTTAAAACACTTGTTAGGAAGTGTGAATTTGAACATGGTTGAAAGCAATGATAAAAGAGATGGGAACTTACGACTTCATTAAGAGTATGACCCTAAATATAGTAGAATGGATGACCAAGATTGAGGTGTAACTTTAAACATGGTTGAAAGCAATAATAAAAGATATGGGAACTTACGACTTCATTAAGAGTATGACCCTTAATATAGTAGAATAGATGACCAAGATTCGTTTAGCTGTCCTCAATTAGCTTGAAAAAGGCTTTAACAATGATGATGCTCTCTCTACCATCTACAATTTTACAACTAGTAATGTCTATTAAGGGATGAGATATGTATTTTCTTTATGCACATCGCGGCTCCAACTCTGATGCAGATCTCATTTTCAGCCTTTTAGCCTTTTGCCTTTTTGTTTTGCTTTTTTTCTAGTCCTTTTCTCTCTTTCATTTCTTTTTATTTTCATCGGGTAACCTTTCATTATCTTAATAAATTATCGCACATATTTCAAAAAAAAAACAAAAACAATGGGCATCGACTGCTCTTCAACTTGAAATAAAGATGGCTAACTTGGAGTGGAAAGTGGCCCTTCTCCACAGCCTGCTATTGACGAAGATGACACGCATCATACTATTTATGTGATCATTCTAATGTTTCCCCTATACATTTATTACAATCAATTTTAAAGTGGAAAGCATTTTACAAATTGTACCGAGAGGTCGAACCAATCAGCCACCGGTCTAGAGTTAGATCGACTCAGCAAAATTTTATAACAAAATGAAAAATTAGGTCTCGATTGTAAAATTTTAAATCAATATGAAAATATATTTTTTGTGACATTTTACTCATGAAACCATATTTTTAGGGGTGAATATGTCTAACTCTTGATTTCACAAGAGACTCAGATCGGTCCCCCACTCATTCCAAGTTGGCACGGCGGTTCATAGCAAACTTGGCAATTTCTTACAGACGATATAAATAGGTTGGATTTATTAAATTGATGAATATTGAAAAAAAATTATAATCAAGCATCTCATGCCTTGGAGATTATACTCCTATGATCCATGTTATCAACCAATAGAAACCCCTCATTCTCTCTGTATCACTGTTGATTGAATTGGACAATGATAGGCACTTGTGACAGTGGATTTCCATGCTCAAATGCATTATAATACAATGGCACCCCCATAATAATGCATTGGCCATTCATCCTCGGGAGTGCAATTGCACTAACAGTTGCGATCAGTGTGTAGGGACTCGTCTCCATCAGGGACTCGCCACCTGTCCAAGACGAGTCACTCAGCTGAGTCCTACAAAGAGTCCAACACAGGGCCTTTTTGGCCAAAATTTGTTTAAAATATATGTAAATTTTTGAAAAAAAAAGTGTTAAAATTAAGGTGAAACCTAAAACAAATTTAATAAGATAAAATAGACTTAAAAATTTGGAGAAAAATAGATTTTAAAAAGTTTGAGTTACAATTGGAACATTTAAAAAAAAAACTCCAAAACAGAGAAAAAAATATAAAAATAACGACTATGACAAAAAACAATCACCAAACTTTGCCAATCCTGTAGTTAGATCGAGTTATGCGAGTGGTAGGACCCAAATCTCCTAGGAGATTATCACGAACTAAATAAGAAAGCTCACTATTTTATCCTTTGTTTTTGCCCTTCCTTATTTTGACAGATCTCTAAACAGGAAAGAAATCAAGAGAAGATAATTCAGTTTCTTCGAGGGAAACTAACATCCGTAAGCCAAGTAGTAATTAGTTAAAACTTACCATACCACAGCAACACACAATACATATATGGACTCTTACCACGATTGACCATGATCACATAACTCCCCTAAAGACCAGGACTCGATAATTGAATTATCTTCATGTGTTTGACCACGCTCACATAACTCCCCTAAAGACCAGAACTCGATAACTCCTACAAAGACACCAATAACTCACCCTATACCGGGTACACACACATCAAACGGCTATAGCTTATTCACCTGCATACATGGACTTAATTGAAAAACAAACATGACCTAACAAATCATACAAGACATAACAAACACATAACATCCCTCCCTCCTTAAACATCATCCTTGTCCTCAAGGGTGAACTCAAGAAACCTGATCTTCATTTGTTGTAGGTCTTCCCAGGTTGCATCTGTTGGTGAGAGTCCCTTCCAGTGTATAAGAACTTCATCTCGTCGCTTCCGAGCTCGCCGATCCAACACAAATTGAGGTTGAGCTATAATAGTATCCTCTTCTTCCCTAAAGGTGGGTAACTCATAAAGCACATGTACTGCAAATCCTACCTTCTTCTTCAAACAAGATACATGAAAGACTGGGTGTATCTTTGATTCATCGAGCAACTTGAGCTTGTGTGCTACAGGTCCCACCTTTTGAATTACCTCATACGGTTCGTAGTATCTCGGGATAGCTTCAAATTCTTTCGGAATAAAGCAGACGCCTGTCTATAGGGTTGCAGGCATAGGTAAACCATGTCACCTACTTCGAATTTCTTATCAGTCCGATGCTTATCATAAACCTGCTTCATTCGGTTTTGGGCTACCTGTAACTGAATTCGGAGTTCCTTAAGAATTTGATCACGATCAATGAGCTCCTTGTCAACTGACTCAACTGGAATAGCAACACATGGGTTAACAAGGTAGGTGGGGTTCACCCATACACAATTTCATAGGGTGTCTTCTTCATATAAGCATGGATGCTGGTATTGTAACAATGTTTAGCCTATGCTATCCAATGAACACCCAATCTCTTGGTTTATCTCCTATAAAGCATCTCAAGTACATTTTAACCGTCTGATTCACCACCTCCGTTTGGCCATCGGTGTGGGGGGCGGTAGGCAGAAGAGAAATTGAAATCTATACCCTGCAAACAAAACAACTCCCTCCAAAAT